TTTATTTTTTTTAAAAATGTTTTCATTACATTATTTGTGTTTTTCTCTATTTAAAAAAAAACGAAAAAGATGACGAGCTCGTGGGCCGAGTCGAGCTCTGCTCGCCACTAGCGCGAGCCGAGCTCGTGAGATTAAGGGCCGAGCCATTGATATCACTAGGTGTTAATGATATATTGTGAAGACAATTCTTGATCCTTTTTAGCCTAATAGAGAGCTCCCGTATTGGGTGACTGAAAGTTGGGTTTTCCATGCCTTGTAAAGATAATTTATTTTTCACGACCAAAAATTTATATATACACACAGAAATATCCTCTAAAATCCCAGGTAGCAGAAACTGAAAGGATTCAGCAACTAAGCATGATACCTGGTGGGAATGACTTCGAGGCGATCCAGGCTTATCTTTCTCACAATCTTCAACTGGATTTGACGGAGGAAATGCCCGCTGCACCTTATCCTACTCGTGACAAGAAGATCCTTCATCTTGAGTACGTATTTCTAAGTTTTCTAATTTCTTCTGTCTCTCTAAGACATTCTTAAATCTTAATTGGTAAAACAGAAATACAATTATTAATTTGAAACTCATTGTGCATCATATAACACTGATAGTATGATTAAAGCTCAAATAACGTGAAGAAATTTTGCTCAAGTAACGATCTCAAAATTTTTAATGTATTAAAAATGTGTAGTAACTGAGCATGTAAAATAGCAAAACAAACGTCTTTGGCAGTGGAAGATTATCAGAGAAAATTGAAATTGAAATTATTTTTTCATTTGACTTCTATTCTTCTTCTTGCAATGCAGGTAATGTCATGAGAGAACATGCATTTTGGGGGTAGATAAGACTAACATTATAAGTGCTTTCTTCTAGCGCTTGTCGAACTTTATGTTTTGGAGATATGTATCGATTACTTCTTTGTGGTACTAAGTTATCAAACCTCAGCCTTGGGTAAGTGTCTGGTGGGGGTAGGTCTTGATCCCCTCTTAAGTTTGTCCGTATTAGTAAAATGTTACGTTCGTAGTATTTTAATTATAAATGCACAAAAAAAGTAGACCATTATCTTCATTCATTAATAGTTGCCTTAGATAATTTCACGACCGTTAACCAACACACACACTCATTGTCCCTAGAATGACCACCCAATCTGTGCCTTGATCCTCTAATTTAGGCAGGGATCATGAAGCCAGTTCATGTGCATTGCTCACTTGTCAGTGAGAAACATAGGTATTGTGGTGTTACTATTTGTTAACATCCCACATCACCGACGAGACTATAAGAGTAACTTTTTGAGTTTATAGCAAATGAAAATAAAGGAACTTCAAGTATAGCAACTCATAAGAGGAACTTTTACTTTATGCGTTTATAGCCAAACATTCTCTTTGGACACTAAAGGGTGAGTCAAAAGACATACTTTCTACCAAATTAAATTACTTTTACTTTTAAATTTAGTCAAACATGCTAAGCTTTAACAAGAAATAGTACATTAAATCTCACATATTAGAATGAAAAAAAAGAAAAGAAAAGAAGGAGGCTCATAAATATATAGAACAAAATGAATTTTATTTTAACTCGAGGAATATAAAGTACCCTTCAAACCCATAAAACAACACTAGATTGTAATAGTCACCTGAACTTTTAAGAATAACATAATGTGATTCTGGACTTTGAGATGTATTTAAATGTGAAGAAGGCAACAACCTTTTCTTTTTTCCTTTGTCTAAATCATTAACAAGGTTCCAAAACTAATTGAAACATGAAGAGAAGTTACCCTTTACCTCAACAATATGAATGCATTTACAGAGCAGATGAGTATACCAATTCAAAGTTTGCAAGTTTATATGTAGTTCTCCCCCAAAGTATAACATTCATAAAATAGGACATCTAGTTTTAGCTTTATGTAACTCTTCTCTCAGCTTGTGTATCTCCTCATCTGTTGACGCCGGGCAGGATAGCCATTATCCTGCAAGCTAGCTGTAACCGATGATTCACAAAGAGAATACGAAAGAAAACACCTTAGAACACAGAGAAATTTTTTGAAATTAACTTAATTTTATTTATTAATGCAGAATGATGAAAATTAACTCATAAGCGGGGTTAAATAGCTGTAAAAACACGAAATTATCGAAAAATTATCAAAAATAACAAAATCCTAAAAATCATACCAAAATAAATATGAAATAAAATAAGTAAGTTGAGAAAAATTTGGCTCAATTCGGATTCTCCAACATTTAGAAAAAAGGAAACGAACGATCACGACGTGCGCGTTGGAGAGAGCTTTCCGAATTTGGGTCATAATAGCGATTCTGATAATCGAAGTCAAAGTTATGGTCAAATTACCAAAAAGGTGCCAAAATTGCCCCAATTAAGGAAATGGGCATAGCATTAATTTGTGTGTGAATAACACTTTTCTCAAAGCCTTTGTTACTCAATCAAGTAAGTCTGTAAGGGTATTTAAAAGCCTGGTGCCCTAAAGTCAACTGACTTAAGAGGTACTGGTCTAAAACTCGCTACAGAGGTCATATAGAAAACAAGAAAAGAGAAGTTAATAAAAATCATCTTCATAAGCTTTTATAACTCAAGTGAATAAGCCTCAAGGGTTTAAAACCAGGTTCTCTAAGGTCAACTGACTTGAGAGTCACCGACTTAAAGCTCGCTACATGGGTTATACAGAAAGTAAATGAGAGAGAGAGAGAGAGAGTAAGTGAGTGAAAGACTAAAAATGCATTGATTAAATCCCAAGACATTTGGTTGATAGAGTTGTACCTTTAATGTGAGACAAGTAGTTTAGTTTAGTCAAAAAGGTTGAAACAATAAAAAAATAGGAGAGTCTCTACTTGTTGAAGTGTGAACTTGTGATGGTGAGATCTACCCAAGCTAAAAGAAGGTAAGGACTAGAATTAACTAAATTTTAATCTTAGAACACACCTAGAAAAAATTGAGTGAAAAGAATGAGTTTGGAAAAACATATATCTCTCGAGCGAAGAAAGGAATACTTGACCCTATGGGTTGGGAGTTGAACCAATCATGAGTTTGCTATGTTTACACGAGTTTACACACATGTCGGGTTATGCATATAACAGGTGGAGGTTGATTTGATTTAACAATTTCCTATTATATATACAAAGGCATTTTTGACAGACCCCGTCCCGTGTAACATTAATGGACCCGGCATGGCATGCACTGATGATAGTGCTAACCAAAAGTCAAACCCACCATCAAGGTTACTACAGGTACAATCTGCCACTTTTTATACATTATTTTAACAGAATTTCAGCATTATCTTCCCTGTAACAGGACTAACCAACATGTGATCAATTACACACAAATTCCAAACTATAACACAACACAATAAAGATAGGCCGAAACCTCAACTTTTATGAAGAAATAAAATGAAATTTACATATGGATACAAAATACATAGTGAGCCCCATAATTATCTACAAGTGATGCAAAATCACATCTAAACATGAACATGCGTCTCAAAACACTGACTACATGTTCTATGAAATGAGTCATACTAACAAACTCTGTTGTGTGGCTTTGACTCCAAAATTAAGGCTCAACTCCAAAAGATGCCCAAATACTCAATTGCTGCCTAATAAGGAAAAAAGTGGGAAAATATATAATTTGATAGCTCAGTGAGTCAAGAAATTCAAAATAAATATACTTTTTCATTTATACATTTTTACTGAAAATCAAATTCATGTTATTTGATAATTTACAAGCTACCATCATGTAATTATAGCCAAAAAGTGAAATATTCACATAAGGTCGTAAAATATCATCTAAAAATCATGATGTGAACAACGGCTGATAACCATGCTATAATCTCATCACATCAAACATGCTGAAAAATCTACCAAAAATGTACCCTCTCACTGAAATATGTAATCCGCCCATCGGGATAAGAACTTTCACCATGGGCCTTCGGCTCCCTCCGTGAACAAAAGTCGATCTCAAAGACTTCTTATAATCAATTCTAGAATATGGCCAAAGTCACTGAGTGAACTATATATACAAGGTCGAGACCCCTACATCCCCAATCCAAAACCCCTCAGTGTAGTATAGAACATAGCCAAGGCCCCTCAGTGAACTAGAAGAAATATATAATCACGAGTACTTTTCTAGTCGATCTCAAAATTATATCTCATATTCCAATTCACAATGTACCATAAACAATCTTTGAAATCCCACATGTATCATAATAAAAGATATTTTCATAATAATCATGTAATTCGAACACATAATTGCATATAATTGCACATACTTTAACAATATACTTAATTTATAAATATTTTTAAAATATTTATATTTTTCCACTCACAGAACTATATATACTAAAATCAACTCGGTTGGTAATCTGTTCCAACGTCCTTATCGCCACCTGAAATATAATATAATTTTTAAATCAATAATTAACTATTTTAAGTAATTTCAATAATTAAATAGACGATACTCAAACTTAATCATTTCGCGTTTAAACGATTTTTAAAGTCTCTTCAATCACTAAAACTAGTTTTTTCACTCAATTTCATAGTTTATTATACTTAACCCCTTCAATAAAATTGAATTTGATCTAACAATTTAACAACTATAAAATTAAACATAACTTGATAATAAGTAACTTTTTACTTACCTTTCAAAATTGAGGACTTCAACTCTAATAGTATAAATCACTTAATTCCTAACACGTTGGCAAAAAATTTCTAATTTTTTTCTTTTTCTTCTTCCCTTTTTTTTCCTCTCTCTTTTCTCTCTTCTCTTTCTCTTTTTCTCTTTCTTTCCCCCTGTTTCTATTTCTCTCTACATATGTTTGTATATGTTTTTGGATTTGTATGAGTTTGGTTAATATATATTACTCCACCGCCTACCAATTTTGCTTTATCTCTTTTTTTTTTTTTTGACATAGTTGACTTTTCTTTCCCATTAATTTAAGATATTACAAACTCACCTCCTTAAAAGAATTTCGTCCTTGAAATTCAATTGACTAAGTGCGAAAAAACTAGGGATACTGAGAACGAATCTGTTCTTCACTTTCCCATGTCGCTTCTTCCATAGCATAATTCCTTCGCAAGACTTTAACCAAATGAATAGTCTTACTATGTAAGACTTGTTCCTTTTTGTCCAACATCTGAACTGGTTCCTCTTCACATATAAGATTTTCTTTCAGCTCTACTGGTTGTGATTCCAAAACATGAGATGGATCTGGAATATGCTTACGAAGCATCAAAACATGGAATACATTATGAATTTTGGACAATTCTGTTGGCAAAGCCAATCGATACGCAACTGGACCAATGCGTTCAAAAATCTCATATGGGCCAATATACCTCGAACTCAATTTACCTCATTTCCCAAATCTGATAACACCTTTTCATGGCAACAATCGCATGAAAACTCTATCCTCAACATCAAATTCAAGATTTCTTCTGCATCTATCTGTATAGTTCTTCTGTTTATCTTGGGTTGTCTTTAATTTTTCTTTAATTATCTTTATTTTTTCAACAGTAATCTGGACATATTCAGGACCCAATAACTTTCTTTAGCCAATTTCATCCTAACTTACTGGAGTTCTGCACTTTCTACCATACAATACTTCAAAAGGAGCCATTTCTATACTCGAATGATAACTGTTATTATAAGGAAACTCCATCAAAGGAAGATGAGTATCCCAATTCCCTTTGAACTGTAGTACACAAGCTCGTAATATGTCTTCCAAAGTCTGAATAGTTCTTTTTGACTGACCATCTGTTTGTGTATGAAAAGTTGTATTGAAATGAAGTTTAGTACCCATAGCTTTCTGTAAACTGGGCCAAAATTTAGAAGTGAAAGAAGAATCTCTATTTGAAACAATATGGTGCCCCATACAAACTAATTATCTCATCAACATATATTTTTGCCAATTTATCTAACGAGTGACTTTAATAGGCAAAAATCTAGCAGTCTTCGTCAGTCTGTCTACAAGGATCCATATGTCATCGTGTCCACTCTGAGTCCATGGAAGTCCAAATAGAAAATCCATAGTAATGTGTTCCCATTTCCATTTAGGAATAGGCAACGTTTGTAACAATCCTGTTGTTTTCTGACGATCTGGTTTCACTTACTGGCAAATGAGACATCTGGATACAAACTCAGCTATTTCATTCCATGTCACCAATAGTGTTCTTTGAGTACACGATACATTTTTGTACTACCTGGATGCATCTCATAAGCTGAATATATGCCTCTTCTAGAATTTCTCCCTTCAATTTCGAATCATCTGGAACACATAATCTGTTTCCCATAATTAAAGCTCCGTCATCTCAAATAGTTTAGTCTGTATGCTTACCTTTACTAACTTCTTTTTTCAATTTGCTCAACACTGGATCTTGAGTTTGAGTTTCTCTAACTGTGTCAATTAAAGTAGGCATCACTTGGAAGTTGGCAAACAATGCTCCTACATTGGTAACTGATAATTGAGCATGAGAAGCTCTGAACTCACCAAACAAAGATGAACATACTGCATTAGTCTAGGTGATAGGACTCGATATTTTTCGACTGAGAGTATCAGGAACTACATTAGCCTTCCCTGGATGACAATCAATCTTACAGCCGTAATTTTATATTAACTCCAACCATCTTCTTTGCCTCTGGTTCAACTCTTTCTGGTCAAAAATATACTTTAAGCTTCTGTGTTCTGTATATATTTGACATCTCTTGCCATACAATTAATGTCTCTAAATCTTCAAGGCTAGGACAATTGCAGCTAGCTCTAAGTTATGTGTAGGATAACTGAGTTCATGTTTCTTTAACTGTCTGGAAGCATACGTTATAACCTTCCCATTTTGCATCAAGACACAACCAAGACCCAGACGTGAAGCATCACTATATATCACAAACTCTTCACCGGGAGATGAAAGGGTAAGAATCGGAGCTGACACTAATTGATTCTTCAATTCGAGGAAACTTCTTTTGCAATCTTCATTCCAAACAAATTTAGCATTCTTTCTAGCCAAACTAGTCAAAGGCTGAGCAATTTTAGAAAATCCCTCTACAAAACGAAGCTAAGAAAACTTTGAATTTCTGCCATATTAGTAGGCCTTTCCCATTTTACCACTGTCTCAGTTTTCTACGGGTCAACATGAATTCCTTCTTGTGATATGACATGTCCCAAAAATACAACTTTATCAAGCCAGAATTCACATTTACTGAATTTAGCATACAACTGCTCATCACGTAGAGGCTGCAAAATTATTCTGAGATGCTCTGTGTGCTCATCGTGATTATGAGAGTATACTAAAATATCATCGATGAATACAATCACAAATCTATCTAAATATGGGTGAAACACTCTATTTATCATATTCATAAATGCTGCTGGTGCGTTAGTCAACCCAAATAGCATCACGAGAAATTTAAAATGACCATACCTTGTCTGGAAAGTAGTTTTTGGCACATCACTACCCCTGGTTTTAAGTTGATGATATCCAGGACGTAAATAAATCTTTGAAAATACTGTAGCACCGCGAAGCTGATCAAACAGATCATCAATACGTGGTAAAGGATATTTATTGCGAATTGTCACTTTGTTCCATTATCTATAACTATGTACAATCGCATGATGCCATCTTTCTTCTTCATAAACAAAACTGATGTTCCCTACGGAGATATACTAGGTCTCATGAAACCCTTGTCTACAGATTCTTGCAACTAAACCTTTAGCTCTTTCAATTCTGCTGGTGTCATTCTATATGGTGCCCGTGAAATAGGTGCAGTTCCTGGAATTAGATCTATAGTGAACTCCATATCCCTATCTGATGGTAAGCCTGGTAACTCTTCTAAAAATACATCAGGAAAATCCTTGACCACTAGAATGTCTTCAAGCTTTAGTTTGCTAACATCTGTATCAACCACATGAGACAAATATGCATGGCAACCCTTGTTGAGTAATCTTCTAGCGTCAATAACAGATATCACACAAGACGTTAAAATTTCCATTGAATATAACTTCAAGCTGTCCTGGCTATCTAAAATACAACCTCCTTGCAAAAGTAATCAACTGAAGCTCGATTTGTTGCCAGAAAGTCTATACCCAAGATAATATCAAAATCATGTATGTCAAGAGGTATTAAATTTGTCTTCAGCTCGTTCTGCATTACTTTAATCCCACAATCTAAATATATATTGTTTGCTAATAGTGATTCTCCTACTAGTGCATTAACTGCCAAATAACTGCCTAAAAGTTCTGGCTTTTAATTCGCATATAAAGCAAATACAAATGACATAAAAGAATGTGTAGATTCAGGATCAATCAAAATATGAGCATTTCTATCAAAAATAGACAACATACCCATGATAACATCTGGTGACTCCTCTGCCGCTGCTGAGTTTAACAAAAATCTTTCCCTGGGTCTTCGATCGTCCTGCCTGACTTTTTGATTTTGTACCTCTACCGCTTGCAATATTAGACTGGGCTATACTGTTTGCACCTGTTCTATTAACTGAATCATCTGTCTGAGTCTGATTTTGTCTTGTACTACCAACACTCTGCTAAGGAAACATCTTCTGTACTATGCCACTCTCCTGTGATAGAACTGGACAATTTCTTCTAATGTGTCCGCCTTGACCACAATGATAACAGACTCTGCTCCCTTTGAACTTTAGACACATGCCAAGATGAGGTCTTTCACATAACTAACACTAGGGAAGTCTAGTTCTAGTAGGACTCTCGCCCTATCTCAAAGTAATTAATCTTTGGGAAGAGCCCTGAGTGTGAGTAGGCTGGATGGCTACTGTACAGTACTGTGATTGAATCTAGGCCCTGACTTCCCCATGATCGAGATTTGAATTGACCCGAACTAGACACACCAGGTCAAAATCCTCTACTGTCCCTATGAGGTAGTCTATAGTTAGAAGCACTCGCCATTGTGTGACTACTGCTTGCCTTGAACATTGTTTGTTCTCTACCACTTGGCCTATCAGAAATGCTCTTTTCTACTCTCAAAGCTAATTCCATTAATTTACCAAATTCATTCCAGCCTGCAGCTGTTACTACTGACCGGATTTCTTCTCTTAACCCATTTTCAAATCGTCTGCATTTATCAATTTCATTGCTTACCAAAACTTGGGCATACTTTGAAAGTTCAATAAATTTCACCTGATATTTTGCAACTATCATCTGCCCTTGTGCTAGCTTCAAAAATTCCTCCTGCTTTACATTTTTATACGATAGAGGGTAATAGGCATCATAAAAGATACATCTGAATTCTGTCCAAGTGATGATGGAAGGGTCTAGATATGTGCCCCGTACCAACTGTCACCAATCATATGCACCCTCCTCTTATAAGAAAGTGGCAAGACGCAACTTCCGATCATCTGAGCAACTCATAACATAAAATACCCTCTCTATCTTGGTCATCCATGCCTGTGCAACTATAGAATCGGCTGTGCCAGTGAAAACTTTAGCCCCTAATTTTGTAGCCCTCTCAATACTGAAATCTCTATGAGTCTTACGCATAGCAGATGCAACGACAATAGCAATTCTATAAATAGCCATAGGATCAGTTCCAATTACATTTCCCTATCCCCGTTGTTCAGGAGGCTGGTGAACTAATTCATCTACTCTCTCGGGCTCTCTCTATTCATCTCTATCAGGAGCAATGTGAGATTGGGGCAACACATCTTGGAGCCCTTGAGTTCTACCACCACGAGGCATGACTCACCTACAGTTATGCATGATATGTTAAACATCAGAATGTATGTATGTACAATGCAAACCTATGGACTCTAATGCATGCTCTGATACCAAATTGACATACCCAGTCCCGTGTAACAATAATGGACCTAGACGTGGCATGCGCTAATGATAGATACCAACTAAAAGTCGGACACACCATCAAGGCTACTACAAGTACAATATACCACTTTTTATACATAATTTTTAACAAAATTTCGACATTAACTCTCCTGTAAACTGGACTAACCAACCTGTGATCAATTACACACATATCCCAAACTATAACACAACACAATAAAGATAGGTCGAAATCTTAACTTTTACCAAGAAATAAAATGAAATGTACATATGAATACAAAATACATAGTGAGCCCCATAACTATCTGCAAGTGATGCAAAATCAAATCTAGACATGAATATGCGTTCTAAAACACTGACTACATGTTCTATGAAATGAGTCATATTAACAAACTCTGTCGTGTGGCTCTGACTCCAAAATCAAGACTCAAGTCCAAAAGATGCCCAGATACTCAACTGCTACCTGATGAGGAAAAAAAGTGGAAAAATATATGAGTTGATAACTCAGTGAGTGAAGAAGTTCAAAATAAATATACCTTTTCATTTATACATTTTTATTGAAAATCAAATTCATGTTATTTGATAATTCACAAGCTATCATCATGTAATTATAGCCAAAAAGTGAAATATTCACATAAGGTCGTAAAATATCATCTAAAAATCATGATGTGAATATCAGCTGATAACCATGCTACTTGCTGAAAAATCCACCAAAAATGTATCATTTGACTGAAATATGTAATCTGCCCGTTTAGCTAAGAACTTTCATCACGGGCCTTTAGCCCCCTCTGTGAACGAAAGCTAGTCTCGAAGACCTCTCATAATCAATTCTAAAACAGTCAAGGCCCCTTAGTGAACTATATGTATACAGTCGAGACCCCTTCATCCCCGATCCAAGACCCCTCTATGTAGTATAGAACACAACCAAAGTCCCTCAGTGAACTAGAAAAAATATATAATCACGGGTACTTTTTTGATCGATTTCAAAATCATATCTCATATTCCAATTCACAATGTACCATATACAATATTTGAAATCTCACATGTATTATAATAAAAAATATTTTCATTATAACCATGTAATTCGAACACATAATTGCATATAATTGCACATACTTTAACAATATACTAAATTTATAAATATTTTAAAAATATTTATATTTTTCTACTCACAGAACTATATACGCCAAAATCAACTCGGTTGGTAAGCTGTTCCGACGTCATTATCG